ATATTGCACATTTAGGAGGGGATATTACACATTTAGGAGGGGATATTGCACATTTAAGGTGGGATATTACACATTTAAGGTGGGATATTGCACATTTTAGGATATCATAGTGTGTGAACAGTCCATGTTGGGAGTGATGGTGTTTTGATGATGGAAGGAGCTCTCCTGTGGAGTTGCAGCTTGATGGGTTGATGCAGAGAGGGGAGTGGAGTCCTGATGATCCTCTTGGCTCTCAATAACATGGCTGTAAAAACGCACTGTCAATCAGATAAAACTAAATAAAGCTGCTGAAAGCTGTTTGAGTGTAACTCTCTCTGATTATCCAGGTAATGTGTGCATCTAATAACTTCATCCCTGTTGGCCATAGCTCAGGAGAAGGAGAAATTTTCTGTGAATTAGATGGTTGGTAACTCAACTTCTGGCTTTAGTAAGTTTCCTATCACAGCGCAGGAATATCCTCAATCAAAGGTACCAATAAGGGAGATTATTCATGCCCACCACAATAATCAAATAATTTCCCTCTGGGATTATTAAAGTATTTCTGATTCTGAATCTGTTTTTCAAAACTAAGCAAGTTTCTTTTGGTGGTGTTTACCAGGGATTCCTTTCTAACTGCATGCTCAATCGACATAAATAAACGAGATAAGCTTTAAGCTTTTCTCAAGCGGTTTTCATAATCCTGCTCAGTTTTATTTCTATATAAACAAAATGGCAGACATTAAGGAGAGCAATGAAGACTTCATTTTAAGACATTTTGTGATAGATTTATGCTTCATTGTATTAGATCATAACATTTCTCCCTCGGTTTTTTGTGCTTTAGGAGGGAGAATCTCACAGTGAAGGTGCACTGTTCATCATACAGAGCTGCCCTACAGTAACCTCAAGTCATGACTGCTGTCAACTGTTCTCGTCACATGACCACTCGTGGCCTCATTTCACATCTGAAAGGAAACTCCCTCTCTCCTTCTGTTCAGGCTCGTATTCTTTTCGACAGGCCTGTGGTCTATAATTAACGCGACACGACAAGAATCTGATGAGAAAAAGTGGTTCACGTTAGCTCCTACGTTAGCTCCTACGTTAGCTCCTCCTGCGCAGGGAAAAGAGGAAGCCGGGATGTTTTTTGCTTTAAATCAGCGCCTCAGTTTCCTTTGACTGCAGCATGGCAGCCAAACAGGACAGGAAAGCCCCACCATTTTTAAAGCCAGAGACTGCCTTTAATATAATTATCCTCCTGCCCCCTTCACGGCTGTAATCCCACTGTGTGTCAGCCCAGCGGGAGAAATGAGCGTTATCCACATTCTTTTTATTTACAAATGAGGCAGAAACCTGTAAATAAGGTTATTTGTTAGCCTTACGGAATCTATATCTTCTTAAAACAACAAACAGAAGTTAATATGTACAAATGAAGATGTTTAAGCCGCGTTATCGCTCACACCAGCCCAATTTATAAGGAAAAAAGGTGGAAAAAGTTTGGTCCACTTCTATCTAATTACATTAAATCTGTCATGCAGAGGTCTGGTCTTTGATTGGACCACTGCGGCACCATGATTTGTTTATTTTTCAGTCATTCAGTGGTAGATTACTAGCGAAAGACAGTAGATCCATCCATCCATCCATTATCCACCGCTTATCCGGGGTCGGGTGGCGGGGGCAGCAGCCGGAGCAGGGAAATCCAGACTTCCCTCTCCCCAGCCACTTCAGCCAGCTCCTCCGGGGGGATCCCGAGGCGTTCCCAGGCCAGCCGGGACACATAGTCCCTCCAGCGGGTCCTGGGTCTTCCTCTGGGCCTTCTCCCGGTGGGACGAGCCCGGAACACCTCCCCAGGGAGGCGACCAGGAGGCATCCTGAACAGATGCCCGAGCCACCTCAACTGGCTCCTCTCCACGTGGAGGAGCAGCGGCTCTACTCCGAGCCCCTCCCGGATGGCCGAGCTTCTCACCCTATCTCTAAGGGAGAGCCCAGCCACCCTGCGGAGGAAACTCATTTCGGCCGCTTGTATCCGCGATCTCGTTCTTTCAGTCACTACCCAAAGTTCGTGACCATAGACGAGGGTGGGAACGTAGATCGACCGATAAATTGAGAGCTTCGCCTTTAGGCTCAGTTCTTTCTTCATCACGACAGACCGGTACAGCGCCCGCATTACTGCAGACGCCGCACCGATCCGCCTATCGATCTCACGCTCCCTACCCCCATTCGCGAACAAGACCCCAAGGTACTTGAACTCCTCCACTTGGGGAAGGACGTCCGCTCCGACCCGGAGAAGGCACTCTACCCTTTTCCGGTGAGAGACCATGGTCTCGGACTTGGAGGCACTGATCCTCATCCCAGCCGCTTCGCACTCGGCTGCGAACCGCTCCAGTGAGAGCTGTAGGTCCCGACTAGATGAAGCCAACAGGACCACATCATCTGCAAAAAGCAGAGATGCGACCCTAAGGCCACCAAGACTGACACCCTCAACACCTCGGCTGCAGACAGTAAGATAGACAGTAGATAGATTTGCTATTTCAGCTGAGCTTTAGCTTTCAGACAGACGGTATCACCTTCCACTCCACAATGCTTTGGGATAGGAGGAGTTACACTACAGTCTGTTCGGATCCTGTTGCTGTAGAACAAGCCCATATCATCGGCCCTCCACCTCCGTGCTGACGGCTGGCAGAAGGTGTCGGCTATCTAAAGGCCTGAGATGTGGCTCTTTGTTTTCTTGACAGTTTCTCCAAACAGGGGAAGGTTGACAGAGGATTGACTGCTGTTCCACTTGGGAGTAATCTGTCTCTCCCCAGAATAATGCACCTCAAAGAGTGTGAAAATGGCCTTACAAGACTTCCTAAATATAAGGGCAGCAACAAGTACTTCAGGATCGTTGCTGATATCTATCCTCCTTGTTTTCGAATTCTTTAGAAAAAAACGAATTCAATGGTTTAATATCTTGATATGTAAAACTTTGCAATCGAAAAAGGTTATACTTTGTTGTTTTTAAAAGAGTGTGGTACATTTTTTTAGCTGGAGCGAGAGAAAAAGCTGCCCATGTGCACATTTTCAAAGAATGATTGCCCAAGTTAAATTTTAAATCTAATGCGCCCGCAACAATACACACTTTCCAACTATTGATGTGAAGCATTATGTTGGTTAATCTCTTACCGAAAGGTCCGGTCAGAGGCAGTTAAAGATTACTGATGGTCATCGTGTTCACATGCCTGTATGAGCAGGTGGTCAGCATCAGTTTCCATTTCAGTATCCTTCTAGAAAAATCTCAAACAACAAGAGAACAAAGACTTCTTTTTCTTTCTTTTTTTTTGTTTGCTTTTTATTTTTAGCGAATAGGAAAATAGCATTTCTGGTATTTAAAAAACAAAACAAAAAACAAAGATCGTGTGCGTTTTTCTGTGTGCGTAGGCAGACACACACAGGCGTGACGGAGAGGGAAGCGGAGGATGATTAGGGAATACATGCGAGGATGTAGGTCAGTGGAAGCAGCCTGGGGAGGCTCAGACACAAAGGCGGCGCTAGTTCAGACGGATAAACGCGTCTGCCCGTCTGTCTGCTGCCCATTTTGCCCAACCTGTTTTTTTTTTCCCTTCTTTTTGTGGTGTAGACTGAAAGCTAGGCTATCCCCAAAACGCCACGGGACTAGTGCGAGTCCGGGCTACATGCACACACCAAAGCACCCACTCCGCTGGAGCCTACCGTGTGCTAAGGTGGCCTACAGTTCGTGGTAGTAACGTCTGCTGGTTTAACAAAGACCGTCACGAAATGTGAGATCCACCACTTTCAGATGTACAGTCTTTTTATGTGGAGCACCAGTAGGCATAGCAAGCACCAAAGGGTTGAGATAAAAAAACAAAAACAAATGATTACCAATACCAAAATCATATATATATATACATTTCTTTTGTGTCTGCCATTTAGCGTGACAGCTTCTGTCTTTCCCCACACACAAGTGCACTTGAGACTTAGCAGACTTAGCTTCGTGGTTTGGGAATCAGTGGGAGTCCAAATCGCAGACTCCCACTGGAACTTTTTGCTGATTGATCACGCTACGAATCAAGATCGACCTCTCCGAAAACATACCGAATAGCTTAATGCACTGTTTGAAAAACCCTCTTTCTTAAAAAGAAGAAAAACTTAACATCTCTATAAAAAGGCAACAAGCTGTACATGTGTTATCTTTGTATTCAGTACATATCATACCGAGAATGCTAATATGATGATTGAGTAGATGTTAGCTGCCTTTTTCAGGTCTTTAAACTAGCTTTTCTTGCTGTTATAACAAAGAATAATGTTTACAGTAAGTGCTACTGTAGTAATAAATAAAAAAAGAGCAGTGTTAAATCTTACGTTTGCCCCTTTTAGTCAAAAGTTTAAAAAAAACACAGAGCCTACGCAGGCTTCCAGGCAACAGAGCAGGCTGTGCCGGGATTTTTGGGAGAACCAGGAGCTTATGAGCTGTCACACGCAGAGCGGGTTGTTTTTCGCTCTGTCACAGGGCCAGAACTGGGATTTCTGGTTTGGCAACCTCTCCCGCTCTGAGTAACGATTAAATAAGTACAGTTGTAAGATAAGAGCACGACAGTTATACATGATATGGACAAACGGCATCGATAAAGAAATAAGGACGTACGGGGGCCGGTTAAAACAAATGGTGACTATGTTGGCTCATGATTGGGTCTGTGGTAAAGGCCAGCGCAGGACGTGGAGAAAAATGGACTCGGGTTTGACCGATGGTGAGCTAAGCTCCGCCCCATCGGTACTTGATTGTCTTTAAGATCCGGAAGTAGCCCTGAAAACCGCTTCTTCTTTTTTTTTCTTTTTTCCCGCTTCAAAAGAGGGCGTGTCCAAGATTACATCTGGAACACGGAGTAAAATGTCTAGATGCTCTATGTGCATGGGATCCCCCCCCCCAAAAAAACAACAAAAAAGAAGAAATCAGCAGATGTTCCCGGCACTAATTCGATCTGTTCAGGTGGAGGCCGCAGGAGGGGGAGCGGTCAGAGGGGGAGGGGTCAGACGGTGGCCCGGAGGATCCTGCTGGGCCGGGAGCTGCGGTGGATCTTGGTGTGTTTGGACAGGTGGTCGCTGCGGGCGAACTTCTTCTCGCACAGCGAGCACTCGTAGGGCTTCACGCCCGAGTGGGAGCGGCGGTGGCGGGAGAGCTCGTCGGAGCGGGAGAACCTGGAGGCGGGAAAAAGCGCAGAGTCACAGAGGGGGCAAGGATGAGGTCAGCGTTTTTTTTAGGATTAGCTCAGCACATTCATC